ATATATCATTTCTGTATCATAGTAGGATTTGAAGCTTTTAATTTAAAATGGAAGCCCATAAAATATTCTGTGTTCTATGGTATATATAATGCACTATTGTGGAGTAATATTTTATATTTTCCCTATTAAAAAAATACTTTTCCTAGGGTCTTCTCAGACTTTTATAGTTATGCTTAGTCAACCAAAACTTTTGCTGTATATCCCAGTGCTAGAGCTTTATGGAAAAAGCAAATAGCCATGGCAATGAATTACTTGATTAACAAATTACAAGTGAGTTTTACACATAAGGCATTTAGGTTTTTTTTTTTTTAGTGTCTAGATTAACTCAGCCTAATAACAGTTTTTTTAATGGTTTGGTGTCATTAAAGAGTTATAGTGTGTGTGTGTACATCATATATATATATAATAGATCATATATAAATGTAATACATACAGAGATGACTAAATGCCACAATTATATGCTTTTAAAAATAATTAGAAAAGTGTGCCATGTAGGTAACCATCACCTAGGGGAGAAGTCCCCAGTTTTCCTCTTCCTGATCACAGACCTCTTCTCAGCAGATGAACTATCCAGAATTTTGGTGATAATCATAATTATGTGTTTCACTAGACACATCAGTTTTACATTTTTTTTAAATTTTATATAGATTAAAAACACATTATATATATTCTTTATGGGGCAGTGTTCATTAAATGTTACCTACTGATAGCTGTTATTTTTCATCCTGTGGTTTTCTAATGAGTCTTAAGTCCATTAAAAGTATTTATTAATGATTAAACCTTTACACTAATTTCCAAGATTTGAATTGAAAATTAAGTTGGACATGTTTTCTGGAAATTTAAAATATTAAAAGCTTACTCATGATCTCAACACATTAACATACGCTAGAGGTTTTAGAAAATTTATCATCATTTCTGTAAGTTCTGTAAGGTGATTAATTTTGTTTTAAGCAAACTGTTCCTTTGGTTGATTTTTCTTTTCCTTTTCCACACTTGTGTATGTGTATACGCAATTATGTGGGAAGGAAAATTGCCACTATTCTCTTCTCCTTCCATCACCATAGATAAAATTTTAGATTTTATTATTGTAGTAAAGGATTTATGGTGTGTGTGTGTGTGTGTGTGTGTGTGTGTTAAGAAAGGTAGCCATGAGGTTCTTGATAGATGAAGGAATGTTTGACAGAAAGTTGAATGCTAATCAGATATTGATTTGCTTTTCAGTAGCATCTCCCTTTGGCAGGAATATGCACAAAAATCGTGTATCAAAAAAAATTGTGTATCAAGCCTAACATTTCTGTAAGATGATTCTTGGTCTTACAGTTACAATTTTATACTGTTAGACACTTGCATCACTTAAATTAACTTCACATTCTCACCCAGATAATTTAAAATAACTTGCTCTCATCTGTTGGAGAATACTTCTTAGAAGAGAGTTAGCCGAAGTGTAAGCTCTTCTGTATTTATTCTGTCATTATGTCTGTTATGCCACTTTTGAGCTATGGAAATGCATTTTTTTCTAGATGTGAATGTTAATTTCTGCTGTATTTTGGCAGTCATCCTGTTTTCAGTGCAAAACTTTCAGTCTGATTAGTTTTCATATAAAAGATATATGGAGACACTTTAAAATGTACTTGGCATGATTGGCATTGTTGCATTTTTACAAGTACCATGGTTTTGCAGTAATTCTTTCCAATAACTTATCCTATTCTTTAGATTAAAACACAAAGTAATAAAATGACAGTCTTCTAAAATAATGCATTCAGCCAAACTTTTTTTTAAAATGGTTTATTTTTTAAAGGCTTATTTTCATTTATTTATTTATATGTATTTCTGTTTTATATATATATTTCACATCATTCTTCATTTTTGTATAATGCATTCTTTCTCCTTTCAGATGTAGTCCCCATGAAATTCCCACCACCAAGTCACCTGTGTCCCATCACCCTAGTCCCTTGTGCTCTTCCCACCTCTATTTTGTTCCTTCTCCTTCCTCCTCCCCTGCAGAATGTCTCTAATTTATAGTTGCCTGTTGATTTTGATTTTAATTTATTATAATTACTTCCCCCCCATCCCTTATTTGTTTCCTATACATTCCTTCTAAAAGTGAAACCATCCAATATTTTTCTTTTTCTTTCTGGCTTATTTCACTGAGCATAATCCCTTCCAGCTCCATCCATGTTGCTGTGAATGGTATGAGTTTATCTTTTTTATTGCTGAGTAATATTCCATTGTGTATATATGCTACTTCTTCTTCATCCAGTCATATATTTTGGGGCATTTGTGTTGTTTCCATAGCTTACCTATTGTATATAGTGCTGCAATAAACATAGCAGTGCAGGTGTCCTTTTGAATTCATATTTTTGTTTCCTTTGGGTAGATACCTAGGTGTGGAATTTCTGGATCGTATGCAAGCTCCATCTTTAGTAGTTTGAGGAACCTCCACACGGCTCTCCATAGTAGTTGGACCAGTTTGCATTCCCACCAGCAGTGTAGGAGAGTTCCTTCTTCTCCGCATCCGTGCCAACATTTGTTGTTGCTAGTTTCTTTAATATGTGCCATTCTCACTGGTGTAAGGTGGTATCTCATTGTGATTTTGATTTGCATTTCCCTGATTACAAGTGGTGTTTTACATTTTTCCCTATGCCTGTTTGCCATTTGCATTTCCTCTGTGGAGAAGTGTCTTTTTAGCTCTTCCGCCCATTTTTGACTGGATTGTTTACTTTGTTTTTATTGCATTTCATCAGCTCTTTGTGTATCTTTGTGATCAATCTCTTATCACTTGTATGGAGTGCAAAAATTTTCTCCCAGTTGGTAGGGTGTCTCTTTGTTTTGGTTAATGTCTCCTTTGCTGTGCAGAAGCTCTTTAATTTGATGTAGTCCCAGCTGTTCATCTTTTCCATCACTATCTTTGCTTTAGGTGTTATGTCTTTAAAGATGCTACTGAGATGTATGTCATGTAATGTTTGCCTATAGTTTCTTCTATGTTTTTTATGTCTTATTCTTTAATCCATTTGAGTTGGTTTTATGCATGGTGTGAGGTAGTAGTCTAGCTTCATTTTTTTGCATGTAGCAGTCCAATTTTCTCAGCACCATTTATTGAACAAACTGTCCTTGTCCTATTGTATATTCTTTGCTCCTTTGTCAAAGATTAGTTGTCCATGTATGTGCGGCTTTATTTCTGGGTTTTCTATTCAATCCCATTGGTCTGTGTGTCTGTTTTTGTTACAGTACCATACTGTTTTAATTATTATGGCTTTATAGTATAGTTTGAAATCTAGGCGTGTGATACCTCCATTCCCCTTCTTTTTAGTAAGGAGAACTTTGGCTATTCAAGGGTTTTTTGTGGCTCCACATGAATTTCATCAATATTTGTTCTATTTGGGGGCCTCCCTGGTGGTGCAAGGGGTTAAATGTCAGCATTATGAAGCAATCTGCAGTTACTGCAGCACAAGTTCAATCCCTGGCCAGATAGGTGACCCAGTGGTGCAGCAGACCTTTTCTGTCTCACTCTCTACTCCCCTCAGCAGTGTATTTCAGTTAATCTGCCTGATCTGTTGCATACTCTGTCTCTGGTGAATCCTCTCACCACCCCCCCACACACACCTCTGGCCTGTACCCCAGCTCTTGTAAGCATAAATAAATAAATCTTTTAAAAAACTAAATATTAAATTATAATAGAGCCTGTTCTCAGTTTTTTTTTATTTGTGTTTACTTGGTATCTATAAAAATTGCACTAAAGAGGAATAGTTGAAGCTTTTGATGTGTACTGTAGGAAATGAGATTCAAACTAGTGATGAAATGAGAAACAGACAGTAACATTTGAATTACAACATCAAAATGTAAGGAGAGTATTAGTAAAACAACTTCTAAAGTTTAAAATCTTCTAGAGCTATGGTATGCAAAAATGGATTTTAAAACTAGTAAATCTCATATATGCAATGTGACCATAGTTCCTCCTCCCAAGTAATAGTTAAAATTTTGCCATATTATTTTTCAACAGAGATATGAGAGCATTAAAGTGATATAAGAAACTCTAAAGCTCATTTAGGCAATTCTCTTATTTTACTCAATGAGGGGAGGATGAGCTCATCTATTTAGTAGAGAGATACTCGTAGGATAATGAAATGATCTTCTCCTGGGAAAGTACAGGAACAAAAAAAGACTAACAGAACTACTTCTTAAAAGCACTTCTTGAAACTGGTCAACATTCCATTAGTCAGAGCAAGGCATATGAGAAAACAGACCGAAGAAGAAAAGAGTGGGAAAGTAGTAGTTGCCTGTTGACTAGGAGATGTGACAGTGGATATTTATTGAACAGTAACGTGACCTAATATAGATGTTTGTGATATAAAATAAAAATTAAAGGAATAGTTGAATTATAAATCTTAAGTCAAGGAATCTGATGAGAAGGAAGGCTTCCAATGACCTTGTTGTAAGAACGACTTCATTAAAACTTGTTACCTTAACAAAAACAGTATCAGTATTACAAGGTAAGGGACAGCAAAATGTCCTAGTTTGAAAATGGATTTTGAAGTCAGTCCTATCTCAGTGCAGATTCTTTTGTTGCATATTCTTGGGTATGTCACTGTATTTCCATTTTAGCAAATCTGAAAAGGGGTGGCCCTTTTACAGATTTATTCCTTTCTTGGTGCCCTAGATACCTTGTTTGTTCTCTGTATCTGCTTTCTCTTTACCCTCTAGTATTTAATCCCCTGTTGTAATTAATACTTTATATTAAACTTTCCTTGTTCAAATTGCTGTGTGGTTGTTTGTCTTCTTTGTACCTTGACTGATAGATCAGATTTTTAAGCAGTACTTTGCTCACATGTTTTCTTTGAGGATTAAATGGGATAACATATATACAAAGTGTTTAGAATACTGTCTGCCATTGATCAATACTCAGTGTTGGTGATATTGATACTATTAAACATCATTACTACCACCGTCATCATTGTCCCTACCATTAACATTAAGAGTAACTTTTCTACTTTTGCCCACAGGATGTTTCGTCTTAAGTCACTTGCTGCATTGGCTGAATTGGCTGTGTACTCTCGATGGTACCATGCAGGATCACAGCCTCCGCAGACCAGGCGACGACTAATGGTAGTGGCTTTCCTGGGAGCATCTGCAGTAACTGCAAGCACTGGTCTTTTGTGGAAGAGGTGTGTTATCTGAGCATTTTGTTCTTGCATGTACTTTTGTTTTTCCAGTTGTGCCTGTTATCTGAAAACAGTTGACTGCTGACTTAACTTTGTATCAAAATTTCTCTCTTTTAATATTTTCATAAGAGTTTATTATAAACTGGTCTCACAGGCCACAAGGACTAAAAGGACAGCCTTCTGGGAAATAGGCAGGGAGCTGAGCAGCTCCAAAATGAGTCTAGGACCTTGGTGGGCACATTCCTGAGGGAGAGGGCCCTGTCAGGAAGCAGGACAATCTAGTGAGACATCTAGAATATTGGCATAACAAACAGGTCTGTGGTAACTTGGCCCAAGGGAATCAGGTCCAAGCTTCTGTGGATCTACTTCCATAACTCTGTGGCCAAGATTCCCTCTCTGGATGCCTCAATTCTATGGTCAGCTTTTAAGGACCGATTTTTAAGTTAAACTTTGATTTCTCTGTATTCCACATATAGCTGACACTATCAGTATTTGTCTTTCTCCTTCTGATTTGTTTCACTTTGTATAACCCCTTTCAGAATCCATCCATGTTGCCTCAAATAGCATGAGTTTATCTTCTTTGATCTCTGAGTAGTATTCCATTGTGTAATATACCACAGTATTCCATTATGTAATATACCACATATTCTTCATCCACTCATCTGTTTTTGAGTACTTAGGTTGTTTATATATCTTGGCTTTTGTAAATAGTGCTGCAATAAATATGGGACTGCAAGCTTCCTTTTGAATTAGTGTTTCTGTATTCTCCTACTGGATACCTGGGAGTGGAATTACTGGGTTGTTTGGAAGATCTATTTTTTAGTCTTTTGAGAAATCTCCATACTTTTACCATAGAGGCTGAACCAATCTACATTTCTACCCTCCTGGCGAGGGAGAGATCCTATACTTACAGAATACTAACAGCAATGGAAACCAGTGGTACTTCAATAAAATTAAAAAACAAAAACAAAAGAACCTTGCAGATGATCAAATAGCTAGAAATATAAAAAATGAAAAAAAGTTAGATGTATATTCAATACATGAATGTATGTATGTGTGTAGTTAATAGTCTATTTTCATCATTTACTAAAGTATATAGAAATCTATTATAAAAAGTTAAAATTTATCAAAAGTTATACATGCAAATATAGACCATACATAGCACCTTTCACAGTCTAGAGAAACAGAAACAAATGTAAAGATGCAGTATTAAATCATAACTGCATAAAATTAATTGCAGTGTATACCGTACTATTGTAATAATTTCATAGCCACCTCCTATTGCTATTGTGGTGAGCTCAATTGTTGCTGGTTCACTCAAAATGCTATGTGATGTTATGTGCAGATTTTCTATTGTGCAGGGGGGTTAGTGCCCCTAATCCCATGTTGTTCTTGGCTCAACTGTATTACGCTTCAAGGATCTGTCCATTTCCCCACTGAAAATTTTTTTTTTTTTTAATAAATTTTATTGTTATATTCCCCATACAATTGCAGCCCCCCCATTCTGACCCCAATCCCTCCCCTCCCGCCCCCGCCCCCCTAAAAGTGTCTCTGGTTCATAGTTTTTTGTTGATTTTGATTTTCACTTTCTTATAGTTATTCATTTTCCTGGTCCCTTATTTAAGTTTTCTAGATTCCTGCTATGAGTGAGACCATCCGGTATTTTTCTTTTTCTTTTTGGCTTATTTCGCTGAGCATGATCCCTTCCAGCGCCATCCATGTTGCTGCAAATTGCATGTGTTTATCTTTTTTGAATGCTGAGTAATATTCCATGGTATATATGTACCACATCTTCTTGATCCAGTCATCTATTTTTGGGCATTTGGGTTGTTTCCAAAGCTTAGCTATTGTAAACAGTGCTGCTATAAACATAGGGGTGCAGGTGTTCTTTGGAATTGATGTTTCTGTGTCCTTTGGGTAAATACCTAGGAGTGGAATTGCTGGATCATATGGAAGCTCTATGTTTAGTAGGTCCAGAAATCTCCACACAGCTCTCCACAGTGGTTGGACCAGTTTGCACTCCCACCAACAGTGCAGAAGAGTTCCTTTTTCTCCACACCCTCGCCAGCATTTGTTGTTGCTAGTTTTTTTAATATGTGCCATTCTCACTGGTGTAAGATGGTATCTCATGGTAGTTTTGATTTGCATTTCCCTGATGGCAAGTGATGTTGAACATTTTTTCATATGCCTGTTGGCCATTTGCATTTCCTCTTCAGAGAAGTTTCTTTTTAGCTCTTCTGCCCATTTTTTGACTGGATTATTTTCTTTGTTGTTGCTGAGTCTCATCAGCTCTTTGCAGATTTTTGTGATCAGTCCTTTATCATTAGTGTTGGGTGCAAAAATGTTCTCCCAGTTGGTGGGGTTTCTCTTTGTTTTTGTTATTGTCTCTTATGCTGTGCAGAAGCTCTTTAATTTGATGTAGTCCCAGCTGTTTATCTTTGCCTTCACTATCACTGCTTTGGGTGATGTGTCTGTAAAGATGTCTTTGATGTGCAGATCACGTAGTGTTTCGCCTATATTTCCTTCTATATATTTTATGGTTTCAGGTCTTATGTCTAGTTCTTTAATCCATTTTGAGTTGATTTTTGTGTATGGTGTGAGGTGGTGGTCAAGCTTCATTCTTTTGCATGTAGCGACCCAGTTTTCCCAGCACCATTTATTGAACAAACTTTCTTTGCTCCAATGCATAGTCTTTGCTCCTTTGTCAAAGATTAGTTGACCATAAATCTGTGGATTTATTTCTGGATTTTCTATTCGATTCCATTGGTCTGTATGTCTGTTCTTGTTCCAATACCATGCAGTTTTGATGATTATGGCTTTGTAGTATAGTTTGAAGTCTGGGAGTGTAATGCCTCCATTCCCTTCTTTTTTTTTCAGGAGAGCTTTGGCTATTCGGGGTTTTTGGTGATTCCATATGAATTTCATCAATAATTGTTCTATTTCTTTGAAGAATGACATTGAAATTTTGATTGGAATAGCATTGAATCTGTATATTGCTTTTGGAAGGATGGCCATTTTAATAATGTTTATTCTTCCAATCCACGAGCAGGGGATGTCTCTCCATTTCTTTGTGTCTTCTTCTATTTCTTTTAACAGAGTTTTATAGTTTTCTTTGTATAGGTCCTTTATCTCTTTTGTTAGATTTATTCCCAAATATTTGATTTTTTTTGTTTCAATAACAAAAGGGATGGTTTTTTTGATTTCTTCTTCTTCAGATTTATTGTTTGTGTATAGGAAGGCTACTGACTTTTGCGTGTTGATTTTGTATCCTGCCACTTTACTGAACTGATTGATGAGTTGAATTAGCTTTTCTGTGGAGTTTTTGGGGTTCTCTATGTATAATATCATATCGTCTGCAAATAGTGATAGTTTGACTTCTTCTTTTCCTATTTGGATTCCTTGGATGTCTTTCTCTTGTCTTATTGCCCTGGCTAGGACTTCCAGTATTATATTGAAAAGCAGTGGTGAGAGTGGACATCCTTGTCTTGTTCCAGATCTTAATGGAATTGCTTTCAGCTTTTCACCATTGAGAATGATGCTGGCTGTTGGCTTGTCATAGATGGCCTTTATGATGTTGAGGTATGTTCCTTGTATCCCAAGAATTTCAAGGGATTTTATCATGAATGGGTGTTGCACTTTGTCGAAAGCTTTCTCAGCATCTATTGATATTATCATATGGTTTTTATATTTCTTTTTGTTGATGTGTTGGATAACGTTGATTGATTTTCGGATGTTAAACCATCCTTGTGCCCCTGGAATGAATCCTACTTGGTCGTGGTGAATTATCTTATGGATACATTGTTGGATTCTGATGGCTAAAATTTTATTGAGGATTTTTGCATCAGTGTTCATTAGGGAGATTGGCCTGTAGTTTTCCTTTTTAGTGTTGTCCTTGTTCGGTTTTGGTATTAGTGTAATGTTGGCTTCATAGAACGTGTTTGGTATTATCCTTTCCTTCTCAATTTTTTGGAAAAGTTTGTGAAGGATAGGCACTAAGTCATCTCTGAATGTTTGGTAGAATTCATTTGTAAATCCATCAGGTCCTGGGCTTTTGTTTTTGGGGAGGTTTTTGATTACCATTTCAATTTCGCTAGTTGTAATTGGTCTGTTTAGGTGTTCTATTTCTTCTTTATCTAGGGCCTCCCCGGTGGCGCAGCGGTTGAGCGCTGGGTTGCGAAGCTGCGCGCGGCCTCTGCGGCGCCGGTTCGATCCCCGGCTGCTCCCCGGCCACCAGAGGAGGGTCCCACATGGCGCGCAGACCCCTCCTGCCGCCCGCTGCTCCCCTCAGCAGTGTACTTCGGTCCTTCTGCCTGCTCTGCTCCCCGCTCTGGCTCTGGTGAATTCTCTCGCCCTCCCGCGCTTCTGACTGTACCCAGTGCATGTATAAACAAAACAAACAAACAAACCAGCAAACAAATAAATAAAGCATGCCTCTATAAAAAAAAAAAAAAAAAAAAAAAAATAAAAAAAAAAAAAATAAAAAAAATATTTCTTCTTTATCTAGCTTTGGGTGATTGTAGAGTTGTAGGAATTTGTCCATCTCCTCTAGATTATTAAACTTATTTCCATATAACTGTTCATAGTAGTTACTGATTATTCTTTTGATTTCTGCTGTGTCCGTTGTGATTTCTCCTCTTTCATTGATGATCCTGTTTATTTGTGCTTTCTCCCTTTTTCCTTTGTGAGCCTGGCTAGGGGTTTGTCTATTTTATTGATTTTTTCAAAGAACCAGCTCTTGGTTTCATTGATCTTTTGGATTGTTTTTTTAGTTTCAATTTCATTTATTTCTGCTTTGGTTTTTATTATTTCTTTTCTTCTACTGGTTTTGGGGTTTTTTTGTTGTTCTTTTTCTAGATCTTTGAGCTTCGAGATTAGGTTGTTTCTTTGAGTTCTTTCTTGTTTCTTGATGTGAGCTTCTATTGCTATATATTTTCCTCTTATTACTGCTTTTGCTGCATCCCATACATTTAGGATATTGGTGTCCTCCTTGTCGTTCAATTCAAAAAATTTTTTAATTTCTTCTTTGATCTCCTCATTAGTCCAGTGGTCTTCCAGTAGTGTGGTTTTTAATCTCCATGAGGTAGGAAAGTTCCTTGCCTTCTTTTTATGGTTTAGTTCTAGTTTGATGCCTTCATGGTCAGAAAAGATGGTTGGTATGATTTCAATCTTGGTGTATCTGTTGATGTTTGTCTTGTGCCCCAGTATGTGATCGATCCTGGAGAATGATCCGTGTGCGCTTGAGAAAAATGTGTACTCCGTTTTTTTGGGGTTTAGTGTTCTATAGATGTCTGTTAAGCCCAATTGCTCTAGGTCCTTATTTAGAGCTTTGGTTTCTTTACTTATTTTTTGTCTTGTTGATCTATCCATTGTTGATAGTGGTGTGTTGAAGTCTCCCACTACGTATGTGTTTTCTCTGATGTCCGTTTTCAGAGAAGACAACAGTTGTCTGATATATTTTGGTGCTCCTTCGTTTGGTGAGTATATGTTAATGAGTGTTATTTCTTCTTGAAGTATTGTCCCCTTGATCATAATGTAGTGACCATTGGGGTCTCTTTTTATCTTTTTGAGTTTGAAATCTGTTTTATCTGATATAAGTATAGCTGTTCCTGCTTTCTTTTTTGGCCCATTTGCTTGTAGGATTGTTTTCCATCCTTTGACTTTGAGCCTATTTTTATCTTTTGTAGCTAAATGTGTTTCCTGGAGACAGCAAAAGGTTGGGTGTTGTTTCTTAATCCAGGCTGCAACTCTGTGTCTTTTTATTGAAGAGTTTAGTCCATTTACATTTAGAGTTAATATTGATATGTTAACATCTGTATTTGCCATTGTGTTTGTCTTTCCTTTGATTTTATTTATTTATTCTTTTAATAACTTTTTTTTTTTTTTGGCCTTCTTTCATTGTTATTCGTCCCTCTGAGGTTCTGGCTTTAGGACTCCTTGTAGTATTTTTTGGAGTGGGGGTTTAGTTGCAATGAAATTCCGGAGTTTCTGTTTGTCTGGGAAGGTCCATATTCTTTCTTCAAAGAGGAAGGAGAGCTTTGCGGGATAGAGTATTCTTGGTTGGCATCTGTTTTCTTGGAGTCTGTTGACTATGTCCCTCCACTCTCTCCTTGCCCGTAGTGTTTCTTCGGAGAAGTCTGATGTCAGCCTGATTGGCTTTCCTTTGAATGTTATCTGTTTCTTCCCTCTTGCCAGCTTCATTATTTTTTCCTTGTCCTGGATTCTTGGGAGCTTTACTATTATGTGTCTTGCTGTATTTTTTCTTTCGTCGTGGAAGTTTGGTGTTCTTCTTGCTTCTTGTATATCAATTTTCAGCTCCTTCTTCACATTTGGGAAGTTCTCTTCAATTATCTCTTTGAATATTTTCTCTGTTCCTACTTCTCTCTCCTCTCCTTCTGGTATTCCTATAACTCTTATATTTCCTTTCCTCATGGAGTCAGATAGTTCCCGAAGTCTTTCTTCATTCTTTTTCCTTCGTACTTCTCTTTCCTTTTCTGTTTTGGTTCTTTTTATTTCTGTGTCTTCAAGAGCACTTATTCGTTCTTCCATTTCATCAATTCTGCTTTCATTGCTTTTCCCAGAATTCTTTAGTTCTTCCACTAATTCTTTGATCTCCTGCATTTCTTTTACTTCCCTCTTTAGGGACTCAATTTCATTCTTCTGATCGTTGATTATTTTTCCCTTATCATTGTTTTCCTTTATGACTTCTGTCAGTTTTTTAATCACGGCAATTTTAAATTCTCTTTCTGGAAGGCTCAGAAGTTCTTCCAAGTTACTGTCGTTGCAATCTGGGGGCTGGTTTTCTTTTTGTGGTGTGCTTTTTCTCTGGAGAGTTGCTAGGTTGCGTGTGGTTCTTCTCCTCCCTACTGTCTGTTTTCTAATTTGCCGTATGCGTTGGGACACTGTGTTGTTGGGACTGGCCGGCATCTTGGGTGGGCTTCTCTTCTCCCCTCTGGTTCCTCCTGGAGTCATCGGCAGCCCGGGCTGTGTGCGCGTCTCCCGGGGTCTTTGTTCTTCTCTAATGGCGCCCGGAGCCGTTCCCTCACCGCCGCGGCGAATCCTGCAGGGTTCTCCACAGCTCCCGTTCACGGGGTGTGGTGGCTGAAATAGTTCCTTTCCACTCACAGTCCAGCTTGCTGCGTCCGTTTTTCTTGTTGGCCGTTTTGGTTTGTTGTTTCCTCCCCTCTGCCGGTCGGAGAGTGCCGCCTCTGTGGGCGGGGGAGGGGAGCAGGGTTCTGCGCTTCCCTCCCTTCTGGTCCTCTTTTATGGCAACTTTCTTCTTTGGGCAGTTCGCTGGAGTCACCCGTTTATCTTCCGTGTCCCAGTTCTCACTGGGACCTGCCGCTTTTCCTCCCTATTCACTTTTTTTAATGGGAGATCTTACTCGCAGCGTCTCCTCGCCGCCATGTTGCTCCGCCCCTCTCCCCACTGAAAATTTTTAATAATGGTGTAGGATGGCAGTAGTAGTTTTAGAAGTTTCTGAAGCTTCAAAATTTGTGACCATATGATATTAACTAATGAATCTTAAATTCCTTTGTGTCATGTGACAATTTTTCACTTGTTATTTAAACTTACCTTGGAGGAAGAGAAAGAGTAGTGAACCATGATCTCATTTCTTAAAATGAGTAGATATTATTTTTCTGACTCTTGACACTGCTGTTTTTTAAATTTTCAACATGGTTAATCCTGTTGTAAAAAAAGCTGCTATCATTATATTTGGCTCCCTCAAAATGGCTATATATTTTTTCTTGTTTTATATATCACTTGTACTGAACAATATATGTAAAAGAAAGTAGACCCAATAATTAACATAAATGTTTATATGATTGTTAATTACCCCCAGAGCAAAATATGGAACATTTCCATCATCTCACAAAGGCCCTTCATACCTGTTACCAGTTAGTCACAAACCACTATTTCAGGCAACCTCTCTGAGTTTTACTGTTTTTTATTCACCATACCAGTAATATAATACAATATTTATCCTTCTGTGTCAGCTTATATTATTTAGCATAATGTCCTCTAGGTTCATCCATGTTATTGCAATTGGCAGGATTTCTTTCTTTTTTAAGGCTGAATACTACATACACATATGCATAATACATACACATACACATATGTGTATACATGTGAGTGTGTGTACTACTTTATTATTCCACTGACAGTCATTAAGGTTATTTCTGTGTCTGGGCTATTGTAAATGTTTTGCATAAACATGAGAGTGCAGATATGTCTTCGAGATCCTAATTTCAGTTCTTTTGGATTTATACCTAGAAGTGGGATTGTTGAGTTATGATATTTCATTTTTAGCTATATGAAAATCTTCCATACTGTTTTCCATCATGACTGTACCAATTTACATTCCCCCCTACAGAAGACCAGGGATCCCTTTACTCCATCATCTAGATTTGTTATCTTTTCCTTTTTTTTTTTTTTTTTTTCATGAAAATCATTCTACTAGGTGTGGGGTAATATTGAAGTTTTGGTTTGCACGTCCCTGGTGATTATTGATGTTTGACACCTTTTTTAATACCTGTTGACCACTTATATATCTTTATTGGAGAAATGTCTATTCAATTCTTTTGCCCATTTTTAAGTCAGATTATTTGTTTTTTGCTAATGGGTTATAGGAGTTTCTCTTATATTTTTGAATATTACCTCTTTATTAAACATATGGTTTATAGTTTTTCCCATTCCATAGATTTTCTTCTCATTTTATTGATTGTTGCCTTTGCCCTGCTGAAGCTTTTTAGTTTGACATAATCTTGCTTTTCCTTTTTGCTCCTGTTGCTTGCGTTTTTGGTGTCATGTTCTTTATTTTTAATGCTGAATATTATTCTAGTGAGAGTAAATAACACATTTTCTTTATCCACTCATCTGTCAGTGAACACTTGGATTACTTCCTTGTTTCGCTATTGTGAACAATGCTGCTATTAATAAAAGTGTGAACATTTCTTTGAGACTTTGATTTCAGTTCTTCTGGACATATAACCAAAAGGGATTTCTGTTTCACAATACAGTTCTATTTTTAATTTTTTTTTAAAGATTTATTTATTTATTTATACAAGCACTGGGTACACTCAGAAGCGCAGGAGGGTGAGAGAATTCACCAGAGCCACAGCAGGGAACAGAACAGACAGACTGACAAAGAAATACACTGCTGAGGGGAGCAGCGGGCACGGCAGGAGAGGTCTGTGCGCCATGTGGGACCCTCGCCGGCCGGCCAGGGATCGAACCAGCGCTGCAGAGGCCACAGGCAGCTTTGCAGCCCAGCGCTCAACCACTGCACCACTGGCGAGGCCCTCTATTTTTAATTTTTTGAAGAACTTCTTCAAATTTCATTACCTTTGCGCCTGCTAAACTGTATCTGAAAATATTTGGTTAATATGATGGATCTTCTTGATAAATATAGATTTATTTTTTGTTTTTGTTTTTTGTGGGTTTTTTTTTGGTATATCCAGGGCCTATGCAGAAGCTCCACCATCTGTAAACAACCTAAAGACTGAACTTGGTGATAGAGGAAAGAAAAAAGATGAAGGGGAAGTTTGTGACCAAGAAAAAAAGGCTGAAGGTCTTTGTGTTGAGTCTTATCCAGAAGAGAAAAAGAAGAAACGTTCTGGATTTAGAGACAGAAAAGTAAGGAACACGTTGTTATAAAATAATCAAATCTATACTTTAATCCTAAAGCAAAACAATGCAGTTGAGTCTCTTTTTGTATTTCATGTATTTCAAATGGTTCCCATTCTCTTTGATGTTATTTATATCTTTGCCATCTTCCATCATGTTCTAAGGCAAATGTACTTCTGGAATATGAAGTTAATGTGGATATGAGAAGAATCTAGGATTGGTAACCAGGATTAGCATGTTTTGTCTTCATTCTTTTAATTCAGCTACCTAAGGTGATTCTTGCTTTCTAGATCTTTTAGATGTTAAAAATTATATGTTAGATCGAATCATTGTATTACTGGTTCATGATACCAATTATAAAGATAGAATAAAGTCTCTTTAGAAATACAGAAATATTTTCAGAAACAATCAGTTTTGAAGACAGCATAAACTTCAAATGACTGTCAACATTTTGTGTCTTTAACACAACCTGCTGTTATGTAGCTCTACCTCAAAAAAGTTTTAGTTCAATTACTATAATGCCTATGATATTGGATATTTGAATTAAGCAGACATGAGTGATAGAAAAATCAAAAGGTTAAAATTCAGGGAATTGCTCTCACTGGCTAAAATATAGCTTAATCAATGCAACAAATAGTTTAAGTTAATGCTATATATTGTGTGTGGGGTACACATTTTCAGGATAATTACCTTTGAGGAAACTTGGATCTTCTGATTGTTCAATTGGATGAAGTTATTAAATATATCCTCTTAATTACCAAATCCATTTCTCATTGAGGTGAATTTAAACAAAAGTTATGGATCATACTATCAGCTACCCCAGTGTTTTCATCAAGATATATTTATTCTTTTACCCTGAGTGAATTTGAAGAAAGAGCACATTTGCTTTGCTTTTGCCACTTTCATTTATAGTCGTTTCCCATTTTATAAAGTAGATCTAAAATAATCCAGTTTATTTTTGAACTTTGCATTTTCTACCCTAGCTTTCTGTACAGCATATGTTCATATCATATTTTACAGAAAAAAATTAAGGTGTTAGTGTAATTTACCAAGTTAGTAACCTCCATAGCTCTAGTAACTTTTCAATCCATGTGTGAAATAATTTTTATTTCTTTCTGTGCATTTCTAAACTGCTTCAGTGTCTACATGCTAAACATCTTCACTTTTCATCTATGCTTTTGCTTTTGTTCTATTATGTTCTCTTGATTTTTATGTAATATTTCAAATACTCAGAGAAAAAATTACGTATCACCATACTAAACATTGATGTACCACCATTCATTTTTGTCAAGTTTTAACATTTTTCTGTTTGTTTCTTTAAGAAAAAAGAAATGAAATGAATATAAAAGCATATTGCTCTATGTTCCTACCAATTCCATTTACTCTCTTACTCTTCAGAAGTAGACTGACTCATGAATTTACTATTCATCACTCCCTTACATGGCCTGGTTGTTTTATGTGTTTTATTTTAATTTAAAAAAAAAAACCCTTTTAAAAAGAGAACAATCATATCACCTAGTTCATGTCATTTTTTTTTTTTAATATTTATTTATTTATTTATTTATATAAGCACTGGGTACAGTCAGAAGTGCAGGAAGGTGAGAGAACTCACCGGAGCCAGAGCGGAGAGCAGAACAGGCAGACGGACGAGATACACTGCTGAGGGGAGCAGCGGGCGGCAGGAGAGGTCTGCGTGCCATGTGGGACCCTCCCCCAGGAGGCCGGGGATCAAACCTGTACTGCAGAGGCTGCGGGCAGCTTCACAACCCGGCGCTCAACCGCTGCACCACCGGGGGAGGCCCTCATGTCATATTTTTATTGTTAGCTTGTGATTGCTTCTTTCATTTTATTGTTTATTGATTTTAAAATTTATTTTTATTTTTTATTTTATTATCACCTCTAAAACTTTTAAGTCTTCGGTTCTGAAAAATTCTCACACATTGCTTCACTATCATTTCTTTTCTTTTGGAACTTCTGTTAAATGTAGTTTGGATACTCACAAACTATCGTAGGTATCTTTTAACTAATCTCATATACTTTGTTCATTACTTCAACCTTTTCTCTCTCAGGGTTTCTCATTTCTTTTTCTTCCATTCTTTTTTCCTTTGTGGTAAAATGCATATAGCATAAAAGGTAACTCCTTGCCATTGTTAAGTGTACACTTCAGCAGTATTAAGTATATTCATAATATTATGCAGTTATCACCATCATCTCTGTAATTCTCTCATATTTTAAATCCTAATGTCTATACTCATTAAACATAATTTCCTATTATCCCCTTCCTCCCATCCCTGGCAACCACAATTCTACTTTTTGTTTCTATGATTTTGAATACTCTCAATAACTAATACAAGTGAAATCATACAGTATTTGTATTTATGTGATCCTTTTGTTGCACCTAAATATAAATTAGGCTTATTAAATTGTAACATGTCAGAATTTCCTTCCTTTTAAGGGCTGAATAATATTCAGTTGCATGTGTATCCTACATTTTGTTCATCCATCCATCTGGTGATGGATGCTTGGATTGCTTCCACATTTTAACTATTGTGAATAAAGCTGCTATGAACATAGGTATAAAAATATATCTTCTAGACCTAACTTTCCATTCTTTTGGTTATGTCCCAGAAGTGAAATTGCTGGATCATGTATTAATTCTATTTTTAGTTATTTGAGAAACCTCCATACTGTTTTCCATAGTGACTATACCAATTTACATTCCCACTAACAGTGCACAGAGTTCCCTTTTCTCTACATATTGCCTACAGTAATTACCTCTTGTCTCTTATGAAAGCTATTTTAACAGACGTAAGTGGTTTCTCATCATGGTTTGATTTGCTTTGCCCTGATGATTACTGATATTGAGTACTATTTCATGTCCTTGTTGACCATTTCTATGATCCTATTGCAAAAATGTCTTACTTCATATGCTCTGTCCATTTTTGCATTGCATTGTTTTTTGTTGTTGTTGAATCACATGAGTTCTTTATATATTTAAATTTTAACCTCTTGCAAACATTTTCCCCCATTCCATAGATTGCCTTTTCATTTTGTTGATGGTTTCCCTTGACATGCAGAACTTTTTTAATTTCATGTAATCTTGGTTGTTTATTTTTGCTTTTGTTTTCTTTGTTTCCGGTGTCAGTGCCCAAAAGTAAAGACTTATTGTCAAGATAATTGTTAAGGAGCTGCCATTCCATAATTTTTTTATAGAAGTTTTATGGTTTCAGGTCTTACATTCAAGTCTTCAATTTTGAGTTGACTTTTTTACATAAGGTATAAGATATTTTTCCAGTTTCATTCTTTTGTCCCTGGATATTCAATTTTCCTAGCACCATTTATTGAATAGAATATCCTTTTAGCAATGTGTATTCTTTGCTCCTTTGTTGTGATTTAAATGACCATATATGTGTGAGTTTATTTCTGGTGTCTTTTCTGTCCATTACCATTTTTGTTGTTCCTATTATAGTAGTAAGGGAGAAAGGGGAGAAAAATCATAATTTTTGTCTTTTTTTTTTTAACTTTCACTGGAGATCCATGAAATTTACTAAGAAATCTCTTTTTACTTGATTTTCAGATATTTTCTTTTGGTAGTTAAGAACCTATAGACTACCATATTATATATGGCAATATACCCCATTGCTGAAATCATTTTAATTCTCATATAACATTTTTCAGTTTTGCTAGTTTTCAATGATATAAGAAATGGAAAATTCTTTGAAAAACTCTAAGCAAAAGTTACATGAGTATGTTCTACTGAAATGTGAATAGTTCCGAAATAGAAATATGAAATATGAAAAAATAAGAAGATACATGATAATGTGTATTTCACAATATAGTAACACTCTGAATTTCTAACTTTAGGTGATGGAATATGAGAATAGGATTCGAGCATATTCCACGCCAGACAAAATCTTCCGGTATTTTGCCACCTTGAAAGTAATCAGTGAGCCTGGTGAATCTGAAGTGTTTATGACTCCACAAGATTTTGTGCGATCTATAACGCCCAATGAAAAACAACCAGAACGTAAGTAGCTAAAGAGAAAAATGAGATTGTGGTATTTATTTTGTTATATTCCACTTTGTTTCTTTCTATGTATTGCCTACACTTTATGGATACATGCAATAAGTATAGTGGAGCCTACAATCTAATGTGGCAACGCTTAACCAGGGAAAAAAGTTGAGGTTGTACCTCTCCAGTTGAAATCCATTTCCTATAATGAGAATTTTTCTGAAAGCAATGTATTACACTTGTAAGTGCTATTTCAAACTGCTTTTTACTGAGGGAGACAGTGACAGTAACAGGTAATTTCAGGCAGTTTGTTAAAGAACAGAAAATGCTGTGGCAATATAAATAAGGAGGACGCTTAGCTCTATCTGGAAATTTAGAGAATACTTTCTAGAGAATGCATCTAAATTTGAATAACATTAGATAAACAAAGAATAGTGGAAAGGCTATTTCATGTAGAGGCAACTACCTGAACTAATGAGATGTAAAGAAAGAAAGAAAGTGGTTTACTATTATAAGGTAAATGTAGCTATATTAACAGTTATAAAAGAGATATACGTATATGTATGTATATTAAAGACATCATGGGGGCCTCCCTGGTGGCACAAGGGGTTAAGACGCAATCTATGAAGCTATCCGCAGCCTCTGCAGCACAAGGTTGATCCCCGGCCAGGGAGCTACCCACATGGCGCAGCAGACCTCTCCTGACTCGCCCGCTGCTCCCCTCAGCAGTGTATTTCAGTCAATCTGCCTGGTCTGTTCCCCACTCTGTCCCTGGTGAATCCTTTCACCCCTCACAACTCTGGCCTCTACCCCAGTTCTTGTATGCATAAATAAATTAATCTTAAAAAAAAAAAAAAGACATCATGGGAAAATTGATGGCATACAGAGCTCTAAAAACCAATACTTCCATAGATTCAACAGTTAATCTGCCAAAACCAAACACAATCAACTTTGTCAGAACTCTGGAAAGTAATTGAAAAAAAAAAAAAAAACACAGAAACATATAGCAATCAGGGACGTGCTTAATGAAGAAAGAGTCTGCTAAATTTTGATAGGAAATTGTTGTGGTCTGCCTACCATGCCCTATTTCCCAGTGTAGTAGCAGCCATGAAGAAAGCAGCCCATGTTGCCAGTGTGGCTTACTGGTGATGGGATGGTTGGCTGGACTTCAGGAGGAGAGAACAGTACAAACTTTGTTCTTCAAAACCTGACTCTTCTGGCAGTTCCTGGGGGTTCCAGCTCTAAGTTTTCCTTTTGTTTGACCCATCTCAAGCTGGAGTGACTTCTCAGGTGTCATCTACTTAAGAAATTTGCAGACATATATGAGCAATATATGTCCAAGAGAAGGCAGCAGATGGGACAAGCAGCAAAATGAAAAGCCAAGGATAAAGGAGAATGAAGAAGAATTTCAAGGAATAAAAGCTTTGAAAGGGCACTGAATATACCTGGGAATCAGAGTACTATGTGCAGAGCCAGACGCATGCTTGGAAAAGACTTGAGTAGACTTTTATCTCTTGTTGATCTTTGTGCTCTAAGCAAGAATGAGGTGAAAATTACAGTGGTCTAACTAAATATCAAAGGAGAACCCTAGCTCAGAGCCAGTCTGCAGGGCCTAGGAGTATTGGGGTGTTTTTTGTTTTGTTCTTTCATCCTTTTTCACGCTTGCATTTAAGGAAATCACTGTCAGGTCACTTGTTGAATGCTTAAATAATAGAACAGAAACTACAATGACAACAAATGACAAGGAGTACAGTCTCTGCAAAAATAGTTTGAATGATCACTAAGTGAAGTTATGACTATAGTCCTCAATAAGTTATAACACCAAATCCTGGGCAGCACTCCTGAGAATATGATTTCTAGAATTATTATAATATCTTTATTACTGAATGTTCATTTTCAATAAGAAATTGCATACCATATCAATAATTAGGAATGTATCACAAGATACTGCAACTAGGGCAGGAGCCTATAGTACAAATCTTGGAGTTGTGTTCCCATGTTTGGTAAATCTGGGGAAAGGAGAGTTGACTAACATGGATGTACACCCTTAATTGAGGGGTGATACATTTGGAGGAACTGGATGGTCCCAGTTGGGCCAGGTCCCCAGTGAAGAAGACAGGATACAAAACTATGTTTCCCCTTTGCCAGCTCCTTGGAACTTGGAGCAGATCCTGAAAAGCAGCACCAACAGTGCAGCCTACATTCAGTAGAAATAAGGGTCTGGAAACCCAAAGAGGAGGGTTGTCAGCATCATCATAAACATGAATCACCCTCATATATAATTTCATCACTGACTCAAGCCTCTCTAGGCCCTTCCCTGCCCCTGAATTCAGCAGCTGCAGATCAGTTCTCCCCGACTGAACCATCAAGCCAGGAAAAGCTTTATTTATTTATTTTTTAAAAGATTTATTTATTTATTTATTTATTTATTTATTTATTTATTTATTTATGCAAGCACTGGGTACAGAAGCACGGGAGGGTGAGAGAATTCACCAGAGCCAGAGCAGAGAGCAGAGCAGGCAGAAGGACTGAAGTACACTGCTGAGGGGAGCAGCGGGCAGCAGGAAAGGTCTGCACGCCATGTGGGACCCTCACCTGGTGGCCGGGGATCGAACCGGCGCTGCTGAGGCAGTGGGCAGCTTTGCAGCCCAGCGCTCAACCGCTGCGCCACCAGGGAGGCCCATGCCAGGAAAAGCTTTAAAAAAAAAAACCACATACATGGTGCCATCTATTGGAAAAGTGGAAGTTCTGCACCTTTAGGACACTGGAAAAAAACAGTAAATGGAAAGCTACAAAATGGGCAGACAGAAAAACACAACATATGGCACCTTTAGTCTTCAAGAGAAGACTGTTCTGTCTTCACACAGAACAAATCTCCAGATTCCTATCACAAAGACACAGAACATCTTTCTTCCTATCACATACAGAGTTCTAAATTGCCATAATAAAGAAATTCAAAGAAATGGAAGAAAACACAAAAAAGCTAATAAAAGATATGCAAGAAAACTCAGAAAATCAAATGTATTTCCTAGAAATAAAGTTATTTCCTAAGAAATAAAGTTGATGAGAGAAAATTAAAGGTTCAAATAAGCAAATAACAAGCAACTATAAATCAGAGACATTCTGTGGGAGAGGGAGAAGGATCAGAACAGGAGAGGGAAGAGTACAGGGGACTATGGCGATGGTGCATGGGTGAATTGGTAGTGGGAATTCTATGGAGACTAAACCTGAGAGGAGAAAGCAAACATTGTACAAAAATGAACAATGTTGTGATATATATAAAAATTAATTATAAATAAATTATAAATAAGTTATATTTTTAAATAGAATAAAGTCTTTATAAAAAACATAAGAAAATAACAGGTGCAGTACATGAAAAGATCAATGGAATTTTAAAAACTCTGGAGTGTGCCGTGGAAGTAGAATGAACCAAATGGAAGATAGAAACAGTGACCCTGAAGATGGTAACGTGAAAGAATCAGGTGAATTAGAAAGATTAAACGAGGGGGAAAATGAAGAAACAGAGTTATCCTACTCCAGGAAGAAAGTCAATGTAAGAATTAATGGATATTGTAGAAGGGGAAGAGAAAAAGAAGGGAACAGAGAACTTATTCAAAGAAATAAGAGGAAAGCTTATTCAAAGAAATAGAGGAAAGCTTCCCCAAACCTGGGGGTGGAATTAAATATACAAGTCCATGAGGCTAAAAAAATACCTGGTCATCTAATATAAAGACACCTACACCAAGACATATAGACATGAAATTTCCAGAATTCAAAACAAAGAAAGAATATTGAAGCAGGCTAGGGGCAAGAAGATAACCTATAGGAAACCCTATGAGGCCTATTTCTGACTTCTCTGAGGAAACACTTTGGGCTGGTGAGGATTCGGAGAACAAGGAACCTTCTTACACTATTATTGGAAATGTAGACTGGTTCAACTCCCTGGGAAAACGGTATGAGGTTTCTCAAAAGATTAAAACTGAAAAGCCATACATGGACCTCCCTGGTGGCACAGATGGTTGAGCGCAGCGCTGTGAAGCTGTCCGCAGCCTCTGCAGTGCCGGTTCGATCCCCGCCGGCTTAGGAGCAACCCACATGGTGGGCAGACCCTCCTGTCTTGCCCGCTGCTCCCCTCAGCAGTGTACTTTGGTCAGTCTGCCTGTTCTATTCTCCGCTCTGTCTCTGGTGAATCCTCTCACCCTCCTGCGCATCTGGCCTGTACCCTGGCTCTTGTATAAATTAAAAAAAAACCAAACTGATATGCCATACCACTCAGCACTTCCACTCCTAGGTAGCTACCCAAAGAATGCAAAAACACTAATTTGAAGGGTAACATGCATTCCCACATTCATTGCAGCAATACTTCAATGGCCAGCATATGGAAATAATCTCAGTGCCCAAATACAGAAGTGGATCAGGAAGATGTGGAGTGTGTACATATACACACACACAATGGAATACTAAACTATCAAAACAGATAAACACTTGCCATTTGCTGCAGCATGGATGGTTGGAGGTGTTTGTGCTAAGCAAAATTAATCAGAGGGAGAAATACAAATACTGGATGGTGAAATATATGTCACTTATATGTGAAATATAGAGAAACCAAACAAAGGGTCAGATAAAGGCAAACTAAGAACTAACCATAGAAAACTGACTATAGAACTGAGGCTACCAGACAGGCAGCGGGAGGAGAAGGGCAGAAACAATGTAGGGATGCACATGGACTATGCTGGTGTACTGTGGGGTTTTTTTGCTGGTGGATGCAGTGTGGTGACAACAGCTGAAGGGAAAGGTCCTATGCTTTTAAAACATAAACAATTTTGTAAACCAGTGTTACCTCAATTTTAAAAAATCAAAAGAATATTTTGTCACATCTGAAATTCAAATTTCAGTGTCTATAAATACATTCTTATTGGAACTTAAACATCCTCATTTATTATACATTGGCTATGGCAGCTTTCATGCTGCAACAGCATAGTTGAATAGTTGCAATAGAGACTATATGTGGTCCA